TCCCGGCCAAAAGAACAAACCTTGATCCTGGTTTTATTCTGCAGAAGGAGCATTGGAATTGCCATTGACCACCCAATGCTGACTACCAGTCACCCATGCCTTAATATGCGAGAAGAGAAAGCAGCTAGATGATTATCAAATAGATGAGAAATGCACTATTACAGAGGTTGGCGACTCACTAGCCAAACATCGTTGCTGTTGTGCAAATAAAAAGATGCACCATCTTACAAGCTAACCCTTGCCAGTTTCATGAAACAGCCCTGAGACATCCTAAAATCTTTAGTTTTGTCAAAAGTAATGACAGCTTAAGCTAAGTGCCACTCAGGGCTCCAGGATTCCCAAAACACATTTTCAAAAATGATTGTCAAATCAAAGATATTTTTTTTCCTGAATTCAACAACTAAATTGTACATCTATCTTTAGAAAAATCAAACTGAGATTAATTTGTAATTTTTCTGACCATTTCAAAATAGCTTTCATCTGTCTATACTGAGACAAAGTTGTGCCATCAGCAGCAGGTTGAGTGTGAGCGCTTCCCAGCGCACCTCCCAGCAAATGCTTCACGCTGACACGTGTCTGTACGTGTTAATCACAGATGTCTATTTCTACCCCACTCTGGCCTCCTCCAGACCTCCTATGGCTCTCCCCCCTGTCTTCCTGCCCCGAGCAACTGCAGCACAGGTGACATGAGGCGGCATGAGTGGTGCTCCGCACATCCATCAGACGGCAAAAAGCAGCAGGAGCGAGCAAACTGAGCTAAATTTGGGGGTTATTATTTCGTAGAAGCAGACTGCTACAAGTTATGCAAGAGTTTCTTATATATTTCCTAGAAATTAGTTGGTTATTTTCTTTATGCTTATCTTCATGAGATGTCTGGTTTAAGTTTCATGTGTCATCCACATTGTCATTATTTTGAAAAGTTAAAATGACTGGTTCTGACTTGTCCGTTTTCATTTTATCTGTATGCTAATAATGGATACCAAGAAATGTAATGGCCTATCTTGTTCAAGTGGGAGTAATGTGGAGGGTAATATCTTCTTTTTGACTTATGCCCTCTGTATTTCTGTGCTCATCTTTTTCCCTGCTGCAAGCCCTGTAGCTCTGTCTGATATCCGCTCACGCAAACACTACGACTCTCCATACACACAAGAGAGTTCACTTGCACACAAATATGCACGCATAGACTTGCTGCAATTAGAGTCATATGGTGTGAGCTTACTGCTTCCCACGGCTTCACCCGGTAAGGTCATTTTGTTAGCTGAAGATGGCAAATACATCCAATACTGTGAGTTATATATTATGAATTTATTTTGCAGGCACGTATTTTCCTCTCACCAAGCTGTGAATTTATTTCGTTTCATACTATTGCATTCACAGTATCTTTACTTTTTCCTTCTGTGAAACTGTTATTTTTCACTGTCTGCGTTTTATTTCCCAGTTGTGCAACAAATAAAATATGAAGAGCATTAATGCAAACAGCTGCGGATGATGAAATGGGATGGCATTGTGAAAATTGCCAAAAAGAAATGAATGTGGCACTCTGAGATACGTGTTAAAGAACACCATTATTCTTTCACACAATTGGCCTCTGTTTGCCTGCTAATATGTCTGTTAGTCTTGTCTCTATAACTGAATACCATTAATGCAGCAAGAACTGCCTCATAGCAAAAAAATAAAATAAAGAAATAAATGGTTTGATCCTTGTTTAAAATGTGTCAGCTTTTTAGCCCTATTAGTAGTTGATTTCTCTTTGGGATGTGTGTGAAGCAGTAGGGAGGCTGCACTTTAAAAGGTCACTAATGCACTCGGTTTGCTGAAGGGGAAAAAAGGAATGCTGGATGTTTGTTTTTGCTTTTTTTTTGGTCTGTCTTTACAGCCAGTTACCTGGAGATTCAGACCATAACATTTGAAGATAGCTTGGTACCTTGACTATGAGGAAAGTGGAAATGGAGAAAGTGTGAAACATTAAAAGCACCTGCATCCTGTCTCTGTCTACTTACAGAATAATCATGCTCTGACCAGGAGTCTATGAATACTTGTATAACACGCTAGCAGATGTCGTCCTTCCAAACTGGCAAAAGAACAGTCTGAAGTTTCAGGCGGTTAACTTTGCTGCAGTTTCACACAAGCGGTGGGTCAGTGGAGTAGGAAGTTGTGGTCACTCTGTAACACTGACTCGGTGTGGGCCTGCAGATAAGAGTCTGGCCAGCTCAGCTCAGCGAGTGACTGGAGAGTACACCTGGGCTGGCAGCTTCCGACCATCCAGGGACAACTGGTAAAGGCTTCTTCCTCAGCTGCAGCCAAGACTGACAAAGAGAATCATGTGCAGTGGTAGGAGCAAACAGAGCAAGAGTGGCAGTGTTTAATGTGTGACTATATTATACAGAGGCTTGTGTGTGTGCAGTTATGCATGTACGCTTGTGCATGTGTAAGGGTCTCTAGATCCAGAGGAGTCTAGTCTACTAAAAGTTTCCTGCTATCCTAACCTTTATATATGTCATACAAAGTTAAAGGTAGTGCACAAAAAGAGAAATATGTTTTTAAAAGGTCAACTAATAAAAAATAGTGGTAAATGTGCACAGATCACAATTCTAGGATGTTTACTTAAGGAGCAAAGAAAACTGCAACAACAAAGAGCAAAGCAGATATAAAAATGCATGATCAGCGTTAGACACACATTGAAACATTAGCATTCTTTGCACTGGGTACCCTATATTAAAATATCAAAATATAGTTTTATGTTTGAATACTTTGCAAAACCCACCGAGAGGACAAGCTGAAGGTATTTCACCTGGTACACATTTAAAACCACATCTCTTTATGTTTTAAAAATACAGTGAAAGCTATCTCTATCACAGTATATTTAGAACTATGATTTATGCTGTTGTGAAAGTAACACATCACATGAGCTTAACCAATCAGAATGTTCATCTTCAGCTGCTAAACTCGTCTCCTCGATTAACATCTGATCAGGTGTATACTCAAAAGGCTGAATAAAGCTGTGAAAACATTTCTAAGATGGTTCAGAAGCTGTATTGTTATCTACTGCAAATAAATCGAGGACTGATTTAGAAACAGCAGAAAAGAGAAACAAGTGAATTATCTGATTATGTGCCTTGAATTTTGTTAAATTATGTTTTCAGATTGTTGTAAGTCCCAAATTTCTTTGGTTAAACTGTGCAAATCTGATTTCCAGTGCCAAACAAGAAATGTCAGAGCATGCAGTACCTGGACATCATTAATTACAAATACAAGAAAACCAAAGAAATATGTATTTCTGATGATCTAATAGCTTTCCATAAACCAACTCGCTAATAAATACACAACACATGATCACTAAATTTAAGCTGATTTTATTCCATTATGAATTCTGTTTGTATTTTATAATGGCAATGACACAAAATATTTATTTTAAATCCAGAAATATTCTTCAGATCCTTTAATTGGTGTTTGGTAAGAACTGAAAGCATACTTTGCTGATGTTGACAAAAGAATTACTGTGATGCACAGATACAAATGTACAGTGAATCTGTAAGTTATTCACAACTCTTCATTTTGCTAATAAATCTACACTTACTCTCACTCAAAGGTAAAGTGGAGAAAGGTTGCTTTAAAATTTAAATACTGTTTAAAAACACAAATGAAAATGAGAAACAGGGCAAAAGCAAAAAATCCATGTTTTTTCATAAATATGTAATTTTTCTCGCTGTCATTTTTAGGTATTGCGTAGGAAAAATAAAATTATATGTGGAAGAAGTGTTGTGAAGGTGTAAAACAAATTGTCTTAAATTTCGTGAAACATACTCTTTCAGGACAATAATGCATTATCTGAGGAGGAGTAAAATGAAAATATTCACATGGTGCATTGAACTTTTCAGATATGTTAACTTGCTTCCTTCTGGGTGATGCTAGTTTAGCAAAAAGCCTCAAAAATGAATCAATAGATGAATGAATAAATGGAAATAGTTTATATTTCTACTGTGCTGGTTGTCACCAATTACGCTGTGAAAGTACATACAGTTAATTCTCCTTGCTGCTTAAGTGATGAACTTGTTGAATGATTCTCTAAGGATCAAGGTAGGGCAAGCAGTGTCACATCCCATTCCTGGCAGGTCTGAGGAATGTCCAGTCCTTGACACTTGTCCAATCTAAAGCTATCGCAACCTCTCCCCTCCAGCTTCACGCTCACTAATCTCTCCTGACACCTTACAAAGTCCCGATAGGGAATCAGTCTACCCTGAAAACAATCCGGCACTCCTCCCTCGTCACCCCAAATCGGCACCAGCATGCCTCTCTGTCTGTCTTTCTTCCTTAGTTTTCACTTTGCCCTCCTCCTCCACCATCCATTCCCTCCCCATTACCTCCCTCTATAGCCCACTCTTTCTCTCACATTTCCATCTGTCTTTGTCAAACTGTATTCTGCTCCTCGCCTATCTTTCCTCCCTCCGTATATTCTCCTCTGTCCTCACTTTCTCACTGGGTATATCTTGCCTCTGTCGGTGGGAATCTGTTAAAAGACACTGTGATTGCCAACTGAGGAATAGCCTGCTTTCACTTAGGAACTCATTTCCATTCAAAGGCTTGGTTTTTTTGTTGTTGTTTCTTTAAAAAAAAAAAAAACTTCCCCACTTGCTCTTGCTATAGTTGGAAGGTCATTATCTCCAAGTGCACCTTTATTTCCACAAGTAGGAAAGCTCCAGGAATAATTTTGGGTTAGATAAACAGAAACATCTTTCCCCTGTTGCCCCTCTCCCTAAAAATACTTCCCTCCTTTGAGGCAAGAGATAGACAAGGGATGTGGAGATAGGACCTTTTTTTATTATTATTGTTTGCTCTGTGAGTCCATTATTAAGATTTTGTGCTTACACAGAACAAGAAAACACAATTTTCCAGTCATAATGTTTGCTTTAGCTAGTTAGTTTCGCAGAGTGAATGAGATCCTTTGAAAATCATTTTTCCTAATTAGTTTATTTGGGATTCAAGAACTCTCTTGAGACGAGTCACTCAAAAAAAAGATCCCATTTATTATTTAAATGTATTCAACAGTTCCAAAAGATAAGATAAACAAGTCATAGATTTCAATTACAAGCTGTTTGTTCTTGTCTCCGCATCTATTGAGGCTCCACCCTACAAAACACAATCTCATTGGCTGCCGAGTTAAATATCTGTCATTGGTTGTTGCACAGAATACTGCAACTCTGGAAAAAATAAAAATGAAGTAGTTGTGACGCAGCACATGCTAAAAGGCAAACACGCACTGATATGCACATGTACTTCTTTCATACACACACACATGAACACGCACTCGGGTGTACAGTCATGAGAGGCAAATTCTCCCATCCAATCAGTTTCATTCTCACGCAAGCTGTCAGGCTACTATGTTGAACAGATCTTACCATAATGCCTTTATGTCAGTGTATATGCTGCAAATGAATGGATGACGTCCAGCGAAAAACACTGAAACAGAAAAATTACGCACTCACTGTTACGCCGCTCCAGCGCCTTATTTACCACCCCATCTGGTGGACTCTCCCTTCTGCCCTCTGCATCAAAAGCCAGATATTTTTCTTCTTTATTTCTTTTTTTTTTCTTTTTTTTGTTGTTTTTTTGTTGCCTAGGAAAGCTCAGAGATCAGCACGGCACAGAAGAGGAAGGGATCAGTGCTATGCGACCCCTGAATCTCAAGATTTAACTTCTTCACATGGCTTGTCGTGCCAATCGGAGCATCAACACGAAGCCAGAACAATGAAAGGATTATTTAAAGTCTGCTTTAATCCAAAGAGAAGCAGGACATTGTGTGACAGTGCAAGAAACAGTGTGAGGGGGCATTATCTATACGAGATGTTACCTTTTCCATATATATTGGAAGTGCAGAATGTATAATTATTCTCCACATGAATAAAATATACAGTAGATACCTTGTAATACCCAATGATGAAGGAAAAACACCCACTGCAATAAAATACTTAAAGTCTTCATTTAAATATTTCTTTTTCCAGCTGTTAGATCTCTTATATGCATCACAAATAACATCTCTCATTCAAACAGGATATCTTCACAAGGGATAAATATATTCTTCTTTTTTTTTTCTAAATCTCTTTTGTGCAGAATAGTATGCATATCAACAAAATAAAAACAAAATTTAGGTTAATTTGCACGGAACAACACTACAAGTTCCAGTCAGCCCAGTCCTCTGAAGGGACAGATGACTGCTGCTGTGGAGTAAAGAGGTGAAATCATCCACTTTTGCAGGGTTGTCGTTTCTGTTGATATCTCTGTGCAATGGAGCAGGGCTAAAGAGGAGAGACACTGTAAGTGAGGAGCTTCTGACACATCGGTAATGTGGCAAGGGGTGCGGAAAACCAGCCCATCTAACATCCCACTCCTCCCACGCCACCTGCTAGCTGGTCTCAGTGTGTCCTCGGGGAGCTTTCCATCCCGGCTTGGCCGCGGTAGCCTGGATGTCTTGGCTGATGGATATGAAGCAGAGGTGACTGCGATGATGGAGAGAATTAGGAAAACTAGAAAGCATTCTGGCTTTTTTAACACACACAAAGCCTCCCCCTGACCCCTTTTTATCATGAAACTCTCTTTGAGTATCTTCCATTTTGACAGTCTCTGTGTCTGTTTGTTCTCAGTCTGCGTAGAGGATGAAGCCAGAGAAGGTGCTGTACTTATTGTTGTTGCCGCCGTGGGCTTTGCCTCCGTCAAGTTTGATGTACACCTCATCGCCAGCGTCCAGATGGAGGATGACACTGTTTGAGGCGTAGTCATAGTTCTGGTCAGCGTCTTGGGCAATGGCACTAGCACGAACCTGCAGGAATGGGGAGGAATATGAAGATAAATGGATAGTCTTGTTAGTGACACCATATGTACATATATAGTTCATTTCACACAGCATATGTTCGGAATCAGTTGTCAGTCTATCTTCCTTTTCAGACAGCTAGATACTAAATTTGGAGTTAATCTCAATTTTCAAACTGAACCACAACACCTGGCTTAGACAGGACATTCTAGTGAAAGATAGTTAAGATACCATTTATAGAAAGATACATGGATATATAGATGGATGGAAAGATTTAAACTTTTATATCCATATAATTTTTGCCCTCTTGTTTATTGAAAAAAGCGAAAATATGTAATTAGAGTAGAGCCACAGTGATACATCCAAATTAGAGGCAAGTGCAAATACACACACAGTTAAAGGAAGTGGACATGGAGGATTGGAGGATGATATATAATTGTTATGTTGAGGTTGCCAGAATTATGTAAACGTGTAACAACATTCTGCAGTTCGAATGAAAAAATATGACCAAATAAAATTTTAAAACGAAAGCCTGTTGTTACCTACAGTTTAATTATCCTGAGTTTCATATAATAAAAACAGAAAAGGCTTTAGGGAAATATTGAAGTTAACACGCTTCCCTAAAATAAAATAAAAGTTGTATTCTCAGGAAAATGAGCATTGATTTTAAACAAATGATGTCATATCTTATTTAAAAATCTGTTTATTGTAGCTAAATTAGTTTTGCTACAATATATATGTTGCATAAATATTCACCCCCTATACTTACACATTTTATCACATTACATCCACAAACTTTAGTGTATTTTATCAGGGTTTTGTGTAAAAAGCTAAAGCAAAGACTGTGAAATGGAAGAAGAATGCGTGTTTTTTATAAATATTTTCACAAATGACAATATAAAAAATATGTTCTAAAACAACCTTTTTTTTTAAATTGCAGCTCCAAATCATTTGTTGTATTTCTGATTTCATTTAGGACAAGGTGTGTGTAAATAAAAATGCACACCACACTTTCCAGATATGTATTTGTGAAATTTGAAAATGATTGCTTATTTTCCTGCCATTTAACAATTATGCGCGACTTTGTTTTGTTCTATAACATGAAGCATCGATAAAATACCAGCATTTTTTCTGTCATTGATAAATTGACAGTTTCTTTGGTGTGAATAATTTTGCAAGACACTATGGCCATGTATAAGTACAAACTCTTTAAATAATAATATCTTGAATAATGACTATTTTGTTTTTTTGTCCTGACTTTCTAAACTTTAAATCACAAGTTTTACTGATATGTTTAGATACCTGTTGCACCTTTAAAACCTTTCAGTATATTAGCCACAAATTTGAACTTGCACCACGTGGTAAACATAATTAAAATTTTGAACATTCAAATTTATATTTTACAAGAAAACAAAGTTGGAGCAATTTAAAATTGAGGTATTAGGCTTCTTTTCCTGCCGGTGCTTTATTTGGACATTTGTTGTGTATTTGCAGTTTTTCTATTAAATAAATTGTAAATTGAATTAGAAGCTTAGAAAATAAATACATTAATAATAGCTTTAAAGTTTTGTCCTTTGTTGCACATTAATGTAATTTCAAAAACAAACAATGTTTAAACAAGTTTTTTGCATGATAATTTAGAAATTAAAGGAAACTTGTTTATATTAGGCTCAGACCACATAAACAATATTTTAGGGATTGTTAAAATAAACTGAGAAGATGGTAAATATTCAGTTTCTTATGGTACAAAAAAAAATGTATTATTCTTTCAGCTAATTACAAAAAATAACCAAATAACTGGGCATAAAAGTGTGAGAAAAATAAGTAAAGCTCTATATATTGTGCCTCTTGAAAAGTTTTAAAGTGTGAAGTTAAAAGAATTACTGGACAGAGCTGACATTTAACCCACAGGACCTACAAGAGGGACAGTCAAACCTCAGGCCTTTCTGTCAAGCAGATTTATGGTTTCAATTGAGCCAGTGGTCTTTCATAAATAAAAGAAAAAAACGAGGAGAGAAAAAATACTAAGGTTTCACCTTGGAACAAAAGGTCCGTAGAACAAAAAGTGTCGGAAGCTCCACAGCAAGGCACACTCACAAGGCTTTACAATAGAAATCACTCAAAAGTACAAAAAAAGGCAAACTATCAACAGCAGTTCTCTTTCAAGATAAGTAGGAGTGTCTGGTAACAACTGACAAGACCCATGGGACTGATCTGCCTAATAAATAAGTAAAAGAGAAGTATTTTTCCATCTGTGTTTACTCACAGAGTGTATTTCTGTGACAATGAATATGTGAGTCTGACTACAGGGCATTCACTGCAGCTTCCCAGTATCCTGTCCTGGGTAATTAAGAGCTCCACTACAAACACTCAGTGTCTCTCTTGAGAGGAAGTTTCAGTGCCACGCAAGTTTGAAAACATCAGCTTATTTTTCACACATGTGGTTCGTGTGTATAAGTATTTCAAATTAAAACTACTGGTAGATTTTAGAAATTACAGCTTAATGAGGATTTTATATTAAGCTGGAGTGTTTGACATAGTATACATTAGGCCAATATGATTCTCTATCTTACAACTGCTATTGGACAGAACACAAAGTTTAGAATGTGGTTCTGTCACCGCTTTCTTTTTAAAATTAGAGAACTTAAAATCTGATTTAGCTCTTATACAAATCGTTTGTAATCTTGCAAATAGGCTTTAAATTTAGTTGAACTTAAACCAAAAAGATTGTCACAGAAATATAATTTTCATGCATTTGTTTGGGCCCATTAGAGGAAAACGCACTCTGTGCCTTATGTTATTCCTCTTGGACAATGGACATGTTTGCTAAAGGATAGATATAGATAATCAATTACATTCTGCAGTGCAACAGTGCCACTTGATCTCACTCCAGCTTACTATCAATATATAATGAAAACCAGACTGAAGGCAATAAATTTCTGGAAGAAGTAAGTTGTGGATGTGCTTACAGTGCAGACCTGGCAGAGTCAATGCCTGAGTTTCACAAACTGTCAAAATAAAGACATTTAGACTTTTATTAAACTGCATTTCACACTATTTTTTTTTGTCACTTTGGCTGTTTTTTAATGACAGCAGCAGAGAGAGATGCATCTGCTTGTTTCTGCGTTGCTCTATATTAATTTACCTGTAACTAATTGTGCAGTACACAAGAGTACTGAGATGGACTAGAGATTCTGTGTACCTATGTTTATGTCTCTCTCTTATTGTGGTCACTGCACTTCTGGTCCAAAATAACTTTCCTTAGAAAGTTATAAAATAAATCTTATCTTGTTTGTAAGAAGTCTGGTAATGAACGCTCACATTTACCAAAAACTAGTTCACTTCAGTTCAAATCATTTAACTAATAGAGTTCAGGTCAAATTAATTAAAACAGTCTTAATTTATGTTCATACATTTATCACCTAAACCTTTCAAACGTTTATATGTTAAGTAGTTGCTGTTCATTCATAAATTTCCTAAAACAAAGTCTTTAAAGGTTTTAAAATCATGAGCTTAGCAGTTTGATTACATCATTGCCTATTCAGCTACTCTTGTGAGCAAATTTGCATTCTTTAAATTTTCTGCGGCTTTCTTTACGTAAATGATATTATGAGGCCCAACTCACATAAAGGTTGGTCTCCCTGATGTATTTTTGTGTTTTAGTTACATATAGTAGAAGATAAAATAAAATGAAATTAACTGGCAATTTGTCCAGCAATCTCCTCTCGCTCCCAATAACCACTGGAGATACGCCATGTAAGGACAAGTTGGGATAGAAAATGGACGGACACACTAACAGAAGACATTGTTCCTGTTTTCATAAAAAAACAAAAATATTTCAGATCCTTTTGTTGAGGATGAAAGAGAAAAACCTCAATGGAGGAAACGGCTTAGCTCCACTGTTACACCAGAGCAGGAGGAAACTTCTTTTATTTCAGAAGTCTCTGCTGCACTTCTGTAACTTAGAGAAAACTTTCTAATAATCACATGACTGGTAAGCTAAGACATTGTAACATTAAAAGCCAGCCGACTGTGGCACCACAGTCTGCAGCAGAACCCCCCACTATGTCTGCAAAATGCCGGACACCATGTCCAATGTGCCTTTACTTTTTCCATTAAATTATTTCTTTTAAAACCCATTTCATATTCATATTCAGCAATTTATATTCAGTAGCTGAATTCCCTCATCTAATAACTCGATAGTCAAATTCAAAGTTGAGGAGAAGCAAACATTAAACAAACAAATGTGTTCACTCAAAGCTCTCAACTTTAGATATTTTCTGTAAAAATTTAAAGAAAATTAATGTTTGTCAAAAAATTCAAGCTTAGCTCAATCCCAAACAGAGCTCTGTTTAGAGTTGCCAGTCTAAGCTTATAATATAGAAATTTGCATCAATGTCCTCCAAAGGCCTTAGCTCTACTCATGAATCTGTTCATGCACAACACTGATTTTCACAATTTTCACTTACTGCCTGTGCTTTATCTTATACAGCTACTAACTAAGAGAGCTGCAACATTTGCTACTAAATGGAGTAGAATTGAGTAAAAAGATCATTATTTTCTCCAGAGAGGGAAAAAAAAGTAAAGCATTGTGCATCATTCGATGTAGTCAGTGGGTAAACAAGCCTATTACTCATGTTGTCCAGTAAAATTGAGATCAATAGTTTCCATGCATCTGAAAGGTTTTTTTTAAGCTCATTATTTGGAATTTTGGTGTCCACTTTAGCTTTTCTGGGGTCGGAGTGCAAAGTTCCTCAAATGGGTTTGATGGACCAGCTGAGGTCCAGCTGGTCAAACTCTTAATAATGAGTTTGTCTGCTTAAGAAGTTAAAAGTTTATTTTATCTTGACAAATACAAGTGAGTTGTGTTAAATGAATAAATCCACAGTAGGTTTATCTTAAAGCAAGAAAATAAACCTGAAATCAATCCCATCTTGTTCCCTTTTTAATTGTATTTTTGTCAAGTGTGTTTCTTTTCTATATATCCTTTTGGAAAGGTTTATCTAGGA